CAAGCTACTATGTGGGGATTCCTGGTCATCATTTGTCTTAGGGAAACACACATGAATCAAACATTGGGACCTTGTCCTCAAAAACTTGTCTTGGAAAAAACCCTGAAACCTGGGACATAATTTTGAAAGCAATCTTTATGTTTACAAACACCACCATTATCTGGTTAATTTGTTCTTGATTAAAAAAATATAACATACAAAACTTACTACAGGTAATGTGTAGGTTTTTTTCTTTTTTTCTTGTGAAGCCAGCCACAATGCTAACTTTCATTCAGACCTCAATTGACAATAATATTTTCCTAAGTCCTGATAAAGAAACTGTCTTCAACAGAGTTTTCATTGGTGAAATCTTAGCCCTAAAACAATAAACATACTGATTTTAATCAGTAAAACCTGATACTTCTGTTGTCCAAAGCACCAGCAGATGACATTTTCAGGAATATTTGTCTGCAGCACTGGAAGACAACATTTCCTAGAAGATTTTAAGTTACCGTTTATTGCTTATTTTCTGGGAGTTTTTATTTTCACTAAATGGACATCTAGAAAGTTATTACAGATAACACATACACATGCATTTTCGCAGTGCTGGTGTAATACACAGGTAAAATATCTGTCAGGTGTGACATGTCGCACTTGTTCGACGAAAAGATAGGATTAATAATATGACCATGAAGAGTCGGGGGGCAAATTTTTGTTCGAGGAATATCGACGTTCGACTAATCAGGGGTTACTTTACAAAGACCGGCAATTAGTTACAGACTCTCCTTCAAACCAAACAGCCCTTATACGTCTTACTATCCCTCCATAATCGATGACCAACTATGCACCAAATTTCTTGTATTGAGGGCCTTGATAAAATAAGGCTTGTTTGTCTATTTTCACCAAGAACATACACTATTTTATCATTATCAAGACAAATTTGCATCAAAATAATATTATTTTTCTTACAAAGACAACATTTATCTGTTACATTATAATGAAGCTTCTATAAAATGTTTACTGGCGCTTTATAGAGAATTAACCAATAATATCTCTCTTCTCAGAGGCATGAGGTTTCGTCAGCATGCATGAAAATGCACAGGAACTATGGCTCAGAAACGATCACTACTTTACACAGAACATGAAAACTATATACCCTTAAATTTTCGAGCAGGATATGATAACATTCTAGTGATTGTCATTGGGATAATAAAATTCAAGATAAAAATATTTTTCAGGAGCATACAGAATCCATTCACAAGCTGCCAAGTACATGTAATATAAGGAGTCACAAAATGCTTCATTCCCTACTTACCAATTTAACAAACAAAACGACTAGGCCTGAATAAACTTGATGGTAAAACCTGCACTTTTAACATGTAAAATGTTAGATATGAATGTCTATATTGGCGAATAGAATATCAAATTTGGTCTGAATTTCGAGCCTGATAGAGTTCATGCTATAATCACCAGTATAGACACTCAAAACAATATACTTTTCCCATTCATACACATCTAACATCGTATTTCATGGTGCAGGGTGGTCGGTTGGTGCAGCGGACGTGAAAAGGTATGGGGTCACTTGCCCGATCACGTGGGTTTTCTCCGGGTACTCCGGTTTCCTCCCACAAAAAGACCCCCGCGCGCTAACATCCGGGCCAACAAGAATGATTAATATAAGTTGAAATAACTTGTTTCATAATTGTTGTAAAATAAATAAAGTTTATATTTTAATGCATGGTGAGAGCTGAGGATCACAAAAGCTCCATCTCTTTTCTTAAAGGATAAATTCTTACGAACATTATTTTGAAAATGAAAATTTGCTAACGTTTTGTGATAATGCTGTATTTGGTACCAGTATATTGATTTTAGACATTCCTTAGAAAAACCTGACAGGTCTCTCTGGTTGGTTAACTGAAACAACCAGGATTAAACTTAACACACATACATGGATATGTACCCAGTACATTATTTTTATGATCAGAAAATAAATTCGTAAAACCTCTGGAAAATACTTTGCCATTGTTGTCATTTGTTACACTGCAAGTACACAGATAACAGTTTATGAACAAAGAAAAAAGAAATTCACACAAACTATCGGTAATCATAATGGCCTTAAAAGTATAGGATGTGCACTGTGTTCTGTGTATGGCTATCCATTTCAAATTATGTAACACACAGGAATGCTAACTAATAGTAGTAAAAATAACAACGAAAACAATTTCATCGAACAATGCCATACTTCATTAGGTTTAAAATGACATGACAACTACTTCCATTAGTCACAATACCTTTACCCTTATAACTATGGGTATAAAAAAAGGCAAGAAATAAATCTTAATCGTAATCATTGTGCATTATCAACGCTGATTTGAGATATCTTGTCATCAATTCTGATTTGAGATATTTTGTTATCTTCCTGATTAGAGATTTCATGTTCATCAATTCTAACTTCAGATATCTTGTCTGATCAATGTTAATCTAAATAATTCATATAAAAATACAATGTACAGTAAATACATTAATAATAAAGCCAAGCAGCCCAATAATGTATTTTTGTTGTACAATAATAATCAAAATGCAAAAAGTTGAGTGAAAATGTTCAATGGTAATACACAATATAACTCTTCTGTACCAATCTTCTCCATATTTGAAGTCATTTTTGTTGTTGAAAAATATGCAGAATTTTTATTTTTATTTGTATACCCAGATCATTTGATGGTGATTATTTTGATCTACGGACTTTCAGTTTGAATACTGAAAGTCATATATTTAAAATTTACATTATAGAGCATGCATACCCTCAGGGACGTATATATATACTGTCCCTGATACCCTGGAGTCCTCACACTTAGGGGATTAATATGACAATAAATATCCGCTGTACATGTATATAGTTGCTCATTTTGTATTTTTATCAAATTTTTTCAATGTATCAAAATTCACAAATTTACATCATGCACATTTTCACCTGGCTCTATTTTGCAAATCAAAATATGGGATAAGATGGTTAGACAAGTTTGTTTCATTGCTTTGAATTGTCAANCCCCCACCCCAATCTAATTTTTGTAATACATGAGAACTGATCAAGTATCAGCAATTTGATTTTACCAGCATTCAACAATGGATATATCAATTATGGAGTATTATCACACTGTACTTGTCATTATGTTTATCTGTCTTCAAAGTCTTCAAAGTCCTTTGCAATAATGAGTAACTATATAGCATTGCCCTAAATCTCAGTCAATCACTTGTCAGACAAACCTTACATAGGTATGTGACATGAGTGGGATTTTTCTGTTTAACCATTTATAGTTTTAATGACAAACTATACAAACAAGGAATGTTTTTATGATTCTTACAGAGAAAATTTCAAACCATGTACAAAGAATAAGTTACACTTTTATAAACCACAAAACTTGACACCAGCATCAGAAGTGTAAGATGATTCCCCTTCTAAAATTATATGAACTCATTACCTGCACTGCTGAAGAAAACAAATGTCTTTTGAAGGAAAAGAATGTGTAAATATTAGCATACCTAAAAAGTAAAACAATTGATGTAAAACAAAACAGATATCCTGGTTTCTTTTAAGTTTCCATTTTTTTCTCTCTCAAATTTCGTATTTGATTGCATCATATATAAAATCAACATATATATTGAGTTCTGTTCACTGTTTAATACTGTACAATAAAATGGACGAAATCTCCTCTTTAAAGCTTTTCTGAACATTATGCTAACACCTCCAGAATCTCCTGAATAAAACCAAGCTATTTACATTGACAAAGTCAAGTAACAAAACATAAAAGTAATAACAAATATAAGACGTGACAGTATGATAGGGAACAAATACAAACTATTACTGTACTGTGTGACGGGTTGAAATTGGTGATGTTTTTTTTGCCCTCAGAGAACTATTTTTGTGTGTTGTTTATTGGTGGTACTCACCAAAACAGGATTGACTAGTAGGATACATATAAAGAGACAATAGAACTCTAGTGGAGTGCTGAGTAACTGTTCCATCTACTGCAAAAAGTGGAGAGTAAAAAAATCATCATGAAAATCACCTACAGTATTTGGCAACAATGTAGATCTGTGGGTGTTTTCTCCGCCCACTCCGGTTTCCTCCCTCATTAAGACCCTCAGCTAGATTTGATAAGTTGGAATATCTTGTTTTATCATTTGTTGTAAAATAATATAGTTTATATATAAGTAGATCCCACCAAACTCCCTAGCCCTGTCTGCTTATGCACTTCAGAAAGTCATTATATCAAACATCTTATTACCGTACTAAACTGAAAAGTAAATTTATCTTCAAGCTGATCAACAAATTATTTTCGATTTATTAAACAAGATATGTAATAAACTTCTGATTTTTTTTTTTTGTGAGGACATTAGATCAAGAACAGGTGTTCCAGCCTACACAATATATATGGTCATGGAGAATGAAGAATTAAATCAGGACATATAAAAATATCACGTATATTTCTGGCTTCTTTTTTCAACCAAATTTTAGTACATTAGGCTGCAGTATATAGTTAGCCAATAGGTAAAGTGTCAATCTCTGTTTAAAATGATCACACTGAGCATATTTTAAATTTAATTATTAATCCTTTCACCCCTATGTAACTTTAGTAGACTCTACAATGCATTGATCTGGATGAATCCATTATGGTCTACAATGGTGTAAGGGTTAACCAACTGAGCAGATAATGAGAGCATCTCAAAATTCCTGGGGTTACATTCATTAATATTCTCTGCACCCCTGGAATATGACACGACAAAATGAAAGGCACATGTGTAGCTATTTGATTGGTTTCAGGTGAAAAAACTGACTAACGGGTTCAGCTGATATCTTCACAGTGAAGATTATAGAGGAACAACATCCAACTTCAAAGTCGAACATGCCATTCTCTTGGGGCCTGTTCGTTTATGCAGAACAACTGGTTGGTCAGTTTTTAAATGTAACGTTTTCGGGTATAAATACTGGCGGACCTGCAAATGTTTATGCAGGCCTTGCAAGGCTTTGCCAAGGCTCACCTGAAAGCAGCATAAAACTACTAGGTCCGACCTTATTTCATAAACGAACAACTTTGGTCTAACCGGTCCAACCATTTAGATCGCGATAAATGAAAGCGGCCTTGATGTACATTGAACAATCAAACAAGTCAGCTTATTATATATGTATAATTCCTGGAATTTTGAGGATGGCATTGAAAGATAAGTGCAACATAAAACACACATGGATACTTTCTTTTAGCTTCAAAAACCACTTCATCACTACAAATGTTAATCTTTGGGCCAGTATGCATGAACTTGAAACAGTTAAGTTTTACATGAGTTAGCTTAACAAATATTTCCAATTCCAATTTAATGTGGCAAGTATTCATGTAAATATTCCGTGAAAGCTTATTGATAAAATGTATATTTTTCCAGTCTAAATTTGTTGTTTCGAGACAAAAAGATTGAAGTAAGACTATTTTAGAATGTTATGTAACCCTAAATTCCTCAGTCTAGTTCAATTGTTAGCAGAGCATCAGACTCCAGTATTTCCATGGTTGCGATGGCGCCGTCGTTGAACTGAAAGGAGGAATCCCCATCTATCACAAGTGTGCCGTCCCACATGCGGGAGTTGATCTTGATCCTGGTGACAAGAGACGCTATACTGTTAGTACAGTCAGTAGAGTTACAATAGAGTCACATTATAAAGTACAAACACACCTAAGATATAGTTACAGTACAAACTGTCACGCTGTAAACATGCTGTACAGAATCATGTACAGCTTGATTCTACACAAGAGTTGCTGAATGTTGGACTGTTTTTGCAAGAGAAATAACACCATTTTCGTATAGTACCGGAAGTGAAGGCCAATCAGTTTAAAATCATAATCAATAATCGGTTTGTAATCGTTAGTAGTATTCCGATTGATGATCAAATGCATAATCAGTTATATTTTTTACGGGACAGAAACCTAAATAAAGTGAGAACACTGCTATTACGTAATGATCAATAGACAGAGTATTTGACTATAAATTAGCTTTCGTTCTTTAATAAAGAATGAATTTCAAGCAATTATTATACAGTTTTATCACTCATATAGTAAAAATCATAAGAATAAATAACTTTCAATGCATATTTTACATTGAAAACATTTAACACTTTGTTTTCGATGATGCACCAATTATATTGATTATGGAATTTGTAATTGATAATCAGCCGAAAGGGCAAACTGATTGTTTTTCTATTATAATTGATCATCAGCCCATCACTATAGATATAACATATATGCAGTACAAATGCAGAATTATTTTAATACAGTTTACTCTATAAGCTCAGCAGAATAGACATACCTTGTGGCAAAGCCTCTCTGATGTCGAATAGCATCAAACACCCCTGAAATAAGCCAGTGTGATCATTACTGTCATTTATGTAAAATTGATCTTGACAAGGTTACCTGAGGTCCTACTGTAGACTACACACACATACAAATGATACGTGGATATGTGTGTGTCATCTACATAATATAATTTTTTATTACAGATGTCCCCCAAACTGCCCCCATAGTCGCAAAGATGCATCAGAAAAGGTTCGCAAAGCCTTAATACAGCTACAATATATTTACTAAATTTTAGTGAAATCAAATTATTTCTCAACTGCGACCAATCAGAAGCCTTAGTGTAGTTGTCATAGCAATGAAACCTACGCGATTGAATACGCAGTCTCCTAATACCCCTATATACCAATTTTCATAAAAATCAAAAAATATTTGAATTTAGACCATCAGAGGCCATTTTCTTGAATCATAAAACGCACACTGCAGTTGTGTTCGTAGTGCCATACTACACCTTAGCACCAAATTTCATCAAAATCTGACAATATTTAAATTTCGAACAATCAAAGGCCAGGAAATGGCAGGCATTTTGTTTAATCACAAAACATATACAACTGTGGTATTTGTTTGTTAAATCACAAAACAAACACCGCAGTTGTATTCGTAGCTCCATACTACACCTATGCACCAAATTTCATCCAAATCGGACAATGTCTAAATTTCGACCAATCAGAGGCTGCCGTCCGGCTGACCAGTTAGATGACCGATCAAAAAACGAAAATACTCTTGCGCCCCGTCTGTCATACGCGATCACTCATGTAAAGTTCCGTTAAATTTCACCCCACGTTTTTTTCGAGAAACATGTCGGAAGCCTCGTCAGCAGAAGAAAGTGGAAGAAATAAGAATAATAAAAAAAAAACCACCTTTGTTTGGGGGACATAGTTAGAAAGGACTATTGAATATTTATGATGTTGCATGAAATCTAATCCCTGAAAACTTTTTGAAATAGAAAACCACAAAAGCTTGACACAGAAAAAATAACATATTACATGTCAATTCATCATGAAGTTTATTATGTTAGGCTATATATAATACTGAAAGGAAACTCAGCCAAACTAGATTTGTTACTTAAAGGCTGAATTCATTGGATCTGATTGTATCAGGAAAAAGGTTGATTACCATAATTTTATTGTGTATTTTTACACCATATTACCAAAACATTACTCTCAATCCTTTATTTTAACATTCAAGGAATGACAGACAAATATATTCAACTCATTCAAAAAAGTATCTCACCCAGTGTTCCTATTTAGTACCACTATATGTGTGTGCTGCAGGTTGTATAGGTTTTCTGCTTGTTATGGGTCTGTATTTCTATATGCCATACCATTGTAATACTACAGCACAGACACTGTAATATCCGATCCAGAAAATATTACACTCTACAGAAGGAGTCTGGTAACAACCACATTATGTTGTGTGCAGATTAACCATCAACTATATTACGGTATGTGATTGAGTGTTTGAAAATAGACAATATTTATACATTAGAACATATCATTTCACCTACCAGTAGTTGCTTTTATCATAAATTCATTTTAGTGCATTTCAAATGTGTCAGTACCAGTATAAATTCAATATATTATCTTACCATTCACAATGGGATCTCTGACTGTGTAGGCCATCCGAGGTTCATCGGGAGCAAATTTGAGGGAGTTGTTGAATTCTGAGGCAACCTTACTCATGAGCTTTTGATCCGTTAAATCTAATTTGCAATCAGTTAGGCTCTTCGCTAAAAACAATTATAATTCAGCCATTTCAAATAGTTGTATAAAACAAAATATTCCATTGAAAAAGTGACTACTTTCAATTTTAACTTCAGTCATTTAGTGCCTTATTTTTTTACTTTTTAAACAACAATACCAGCTGAATCAAGCTTTCATGCACACATTCTTAAATGGTTCAAGTCTCTGTACTTTGTGTGAAATGTCAACCTAGGCTTCTCAAGGTATGTAGAATAGCTTTTACATGTTTATTAACCAACAAGAAACAATGTTGTTTCTCATATACATGTATTTTTCACTGTCCAGCGAGTTAGTCCTCTATCACTTCACCTGTGTGTTAGTCTGAAAACTAAAAGACCTTAGCAAACTAACTCCCTCAGGAGTTTCCAGGGGTGCAGATTAACTTGTAGAGCCATTTCTGTAACTTCCTCATTGAAAAGATAGAGTCAGTCAGGTGAGATATGGGAAGAGCTTGTACTGCCCTGACCCCACCCAGTTGATCTTGAGGCACAGACAATGTCAAAGTAGATATGGCTCTTGATAGTTTTTTAAAACAAAATACTGTTAGAATGTTGCTTTATGAAATGTCCATGCTTTTTGTATCCATATATTAAAACAGTTTTAGTATTGGAATTCAGGATAAAGCAAATTTCTGGAATCCCTTGCCCCGGGCCTATTTCCCTGACCTCACCTTAGGAAATTGACCTTATCTCAAAGAACCAGGGCCCACTTGTATAAAACATCTCAACTCTTGAGATTTCCTCAAGTCTAAGATTTCCCATAGATATTTTCCTTAACTTTGAGATGTTTTATACAAGTGGGCCCAGACACTTGCTATATCCCTAAGATCTATATAATAATTATATACTAAAACAGATCAGACAGCATTGAGTGGAATGTACACCTACTTATTTCTAGTATATCTTTGACAGCCTCTATTGGGAGGTGGTTTATATGAAAGAACCAGGATGTAGAGCCAGTCCCCGTACACATGGTGATCCCTGAACTCTTCTGTTTCAAACCGGGTTCGTCATCCCTCTTGATCTCGTAGTACGACACTCTGAAACACACATATGATCGGTACATATACATTGTAAATATTATTAAAGCTGGCAACAGATTGCCGAACAAAAAAAGAATAATCACCTACTTTGTCCTCTGTGGTAGCACTTTGATAAATTGACAAGCCAGCGTTAGCTGGTGATATGTTCAAGGTAATGACATCACATTGTAGCTATGATTTCAACATCCCCAAGCTAGAGTTATATTAACCCAAACAGGTTCTTCTAGGTTATAATGAAAATAAATAAATAATGGAATACGTTTTGGTTTGCTTTTGATTATATACATTTTTTCATATCCACAGTGTAATTATTTTATCGACATTTGAGAATTATATATATATTTATTATATATATAAAAGCAGTACACTTATGATAGTATGTGATAAAAAAAAAAGTTTCCTACCTACCTCAGCATGAAGTGTTGACATGATCATTATGACCTAGATTTTGACTTGTCCCATTCAATAACTTGTTCAGAGCATATCTTTGTCACTATAACACACAGGATCTTCAAACGTGATATGATGTATATTTAGCGAAGGTGGAGAGTCCTGCACCAGAACCAGGCCACAATAACCCCCCAGTTATGATTTTTGACCTACCAGGCATATTGCATTAAGAATGTATCTGAATGTATATCTGCCTCACCATAACATACAGGATCTTTAATCTTGATAGAGATAAATCTAAGGCTGACAATATTACACATCAAAACCCAGTCACTCTGACCTACAATTTCAACTCGTACTTCTACTGACTTTAAACCCTTCCCACACCAAACATACCAGTAAAACCTTTTCATTATAACTATCAGAAAGAGTTAAAATTACTCATCTTCCCATGTAGAACTATTAGAGAAGTATTAAAATGCACCTTCGGAAGCTACAAAGTTTCCATTGGCAATGATTACTATATACTTTCTCTACACACAATGGGATACTGGCTTAAGTCACAATCTTGTTTTATTATAACTACTTACCTTGCTGACAGAGCTTCACCAATGAAAACTTCGTTTAAAGCTAAGACAGGTAGTACCCTAGGTGGCATTTCGTGAATGTGTAGCCTCTGCTCGAGCTCCTCCTCGAAGTGAGACTCGGCCTCCTTGATGTGTTCCTCAAACCTGTGTTCAGGGTACAAAAGTTGCTGGTCATGTATAGCCACAGGCTCATCATTTTGGTGGAAGCCTGACATGGTCACTCGGATACGGTGGCGCCACTTCCATCTAAAACATGGCAACATTAAATGTGTAGAATGTCATATTTATACAATCATGTATTAAACAATCATCATGTCCCTTAAAACTTAAAGTTCATGGTTAAACTATGGTATTACCAATAATGAAAATATGAATATGATTTTATTTTTTATTTCACTGTCTTCTTGAATAAATATGTTTATCCCTAGGATGAAATCCTACCTTAAATACTTCTGGTTAAAAAACTCTTTTCGATGCCAACATTGACATCCGTCCTCACTCCTTTGCAACTCTGTCAAACATTTAAAATGCAAGCCATCTTGGAAAATCTAATACAAAACATTAGCTGTTAATTGTTATACAGTGATTGCCTATACCTATGTTATTGTTGTGACATATATCTATAAGTGACACAAATCTTACCTAAATTTCCCTTCAAGTATTCGTTTCACAGCCTCTCCAAAGTTTTCTGCAGGGAATATTTTTTTTGAAAGACACAAATACCCCTCCGACCTGTAAGATTTAGGTTTGAATAAGAATTCATTTTACAATCACATAGAGTGAATAATAAACAAAATCAATATGAATTTCTGTATAATATCAGACAACAGTATTTGTCAGCTCAAATTTCAACTTTCTTATATTATACAAAGTGTACAGGATATACATATTATAATCAAATAAACTACAATGAACATTGAAGAACTTTTCAATGAATTACATGTTATTGAAGAGAAAGATTGAGACTGTAGATGAAGACACACATAATGGCAAAATCCTTTGTTAAAAATAACCTTTTAGGGTCAGTATTAATTCCAATGATTGGCTTGTCTTTGACCTTGATCTTGCTGGCTGCCAATAGGTATGTACCATCACCACCAGCGGTAACGATCAGATCTGCCCAGTCAACAATTTCATTACTGTACTGGAATCTGTTCACAACCTTAATCTCTAAACCATGTTCTCTGTTAAATAATACAAAAAACAGAGTGGTTAGCTGACATGCTATAAAAAATGTAGGAGAAAATCTCTGGGAAAAAATCAAATACTGAATTGAACAAAGGGCAATAACTTTTGCAAAAATCGTTGAATCAAAATTCTTTTAAGGGAGACATATTTTCATATCATGATGATAATTTATACCAAGTTTCAAAGAGATCCATTGAAAAATGTAGGAGGAGATTGCCGGACAAAAATCGAATACTGAAATAAACAAAGGGCTATAACTTTTGCAAAAATTGTCAAATCAAAATTCTTTTCAAGGAAACACAACAATATATCATGATTATTTAGCCTACTAAGTTTCAAAGAAATCCGTCAAAAAATGTAGGAGGAGATTGCGGGACTAAAAATCAAATACTGAAATGAACAAAGGGCAATTACTTTTGGAAAAATTGTTGAATCAAAATTCTTTTATGGGAGACACAACTTCATATCATGATTATAATGCATACTAAGTTTCAAAGAGATCTGTTGAAAAATGTAGGAGGAGATTGCAGGACAAAAATCAAATACTAAAATAAACGAAGGGCAATTTCTTTTGCAAAAGTTGTCGAATCAAAATTCTTTTCAAGGAAACACAACAAAATATCATGATTATTTAGCCTACTAAGTTTCAAAGAAATCCGTCAAAAAATGTAGGAGGAGATCTCCGGACAAAAAATCAAATACTGAAAAGAACAAAGCGCAATTACTTTTGGAAAAATTGTCAAATCAAAAATCTTTTAAGGGGGACACAACTTCATATCATGATTATAATGTATACCAAGTTTCAAAGAGATCTGTCGAAAAATGTAGGAGGAGATTGCCGGACAAACAAAAGATTATGCCTGGCGGACGAATGGACAAACCCATACCTTAATACTCCTGTCAAATTTGATGGGTGTATAAAATATCCATTCACCTACATGTCATACATGATTGATGTGCTATTTGGCACATTGTACCAATTTATTGACTAATGTGAAGCTAAAAATGAGATCTTTAACTATGGTAAATTTCCTTTTTTTATTTCAATAACAATACGATCTATGTTGACTGAAATAATGATAATACAATGAATCAAGATTATGATTGTTTTCCCTTTAATGTCTGTATAATATCATGTATAATATATAGACATTTTCACCAATGAAATATCAGAAATAATCAATGTGATAAATATATTCTTTCTATAGTAAAGATTCACATATGATATATCTTCATACGTGAAGATATCATGTTAGGTACATGTATTATACAATCAGAATAGTATAACTTGTATTCATGCAAGATTTTTTTATAAATTGGGGCAGAGGAGGCCGGGTATTAATATTAGTACTATGTACATGCATACACCAAATATATCCATACCGAATTTGATAGGTAAGTAAATTTAACTCTCGCTTTCAAATTATCATCTGAAATGAATTGCAAAATACGTACCTCAAAATTTTGTGAATCAAGTCAACACATTTGTAATGGTTCAAATGGAGTTGATGAAGAGATTCATAATCAGACCTTATGCTATCCAGCTTTAAAATAAAGAAATGTTTTAAAGATTATGTATGAGTTTATGCATGCAGTATTCAATCAAATTATTGATCACGGCTGAGTTTTTAGTAGGATTTTTTTCAATTAAGACAAGATTTTCAAATATTGATGAGTCCCTTACTTATATATAATAGTGGATTCTCAAAATGAGTGTAAGTCTGTAATACATATATCTATGGACGATAAACTGATATCCCTCTATATCAAGTATTCATCAGTTCATGTTTGATAAAGCTGATTTATTGACATGTATATTTTGGAAACGGAGCATGTACTTAATAACATCACTGTGAATGCATAAGAAGACTTAAACAAAGAGTCATGTCAAGCCCTAAACTGCTCTTCCATATGGAACCCACAATCCCATATTACAGATAACACCAACCAAATCGTGAAACTGCAGAAAATGTAACAATTCCAATAGCCAGATATTTATTGTTAAGCTCTTACATGTTTCTTCAATTCTCCTTCGCTTAAATCTTTGTAAGTTGTTTTTAAAAACTCGTATCTTGTCATTTTCGTAAGAAGTGCCACACGTTTGAGGTTGAATGAAGTTTCATGTTGTATATTCCTGAAGGACTGGACAAGGTGTTTGCACAGTCGACCCGGACGTCGCAAAACAGAAGCTAAAATTAATGATTGCATTGTTTAACAGTCATTAAAAAAGATTCAGACGAAATCAATACATTATAAACCTCACAGGTAAGGATCCCTGTTATCATGTACTCATTATTTCGTCTTAAAACACTAAAAACTCATTTGCAGTCTTATCCCAGCAACGCAGGTGTTCCATCTTGGAATTTTACAAGTAGAGCTATCTTTATAAGATTTGTAAATTAGTTTCGAACAGTGATTAAAAAATATATATGATAATGAATAATATATAACCATACTTACAATATTTTCAAAACACTGTATTTATTAAGTTTTTATTGGCAAGTGTAATTTTGCTTTATAAATATTGTTAACATTGCGGAAGTAATATAATACGTAACGAACCTATATATTTTGCCCACGTTGCTCATCTGTCAAGAAATGAACGGATGTGACTGTTAGGATAGTTGGGGACATTTAAACCGGCATTTGTAATATTCGTAAGCATGTTGCCTTTACATCAGGGTGACAAGGAGTACGCTGCTGGGTCGAAGATCAAGCAAAAAGCAGCAGGATGGCTGAGGTAATAACCTAGGAAATATCGGAGTGTATTCTTTATTGAATACTGTTGTTGCATAGGCCTACACAATATTGCAATATGGTGCATATAACGCAAACACAACTGGACACTGCACATTTTATGATTTTAAATATAGAAACATTGCATATCTGCTAACAACCATTATGTTCGGTCAGAGATATGGCATGTTTCTGAAATTAATTACGATGTTGTTGCATGTAGTTCTACCAAACTTAAAATATAAAGATGATTCGCCTTTCAAAATTATCTCAAACCAAATTTAATCAATTCTGTCACATTTCAGTCCCTATGCCAAATATTGAAAATATCAAAAGAACCTCCTATCTGTAATTTAAATTAAAAATGACTTAATAGCTATAAGGAAAACTTCACTCATGCCACCAAATTGCCTCTCCCGCCATACCCATCAAAATTCTTACCAAATACCATCTTGCAAAATAGTCTAAGAACTCTTTCAGCAACTTACTGCGACATATCACCTCTATTGATTCTCTTGATTCCTCCAATTATACCTTTAGTAATACAGTTTTTAACCAGCGTTGCTCTCTTTCTTGCCTAAGATCTTCAACTTGTTGGAGTTGGGCAGTAGTATCCCATTGATATAGACTTTATATAACTTTGTGAAGTTAATCTACTAGAAAAGATTTTTTAATGCATGATAGAGCTTCAGGCTAAAAAGTAATGGATTATTTTTTCGATTCTGCATATCCTTTACGTTACTCTTGAAATTCTTTTAGATATAGGTACGTAGTGCTACTCCTTTTAGATATAGGTACGTAGTGCTACTCCTTTTAGATATAGGTACGTATACGTAGTGCTACTCCTTTTAGATATAGGTACGTAGTGCTACTCCTTTTAGATATAGGTACGTAGTGCTACTCCTTTTAGATATAGGTACGTATACATAGTGCTACTCCTTTTAGATATAGGTACGTAGTGCTACTCCTTTTAGATATAGGTACGTAGTGCTACTCCTTTTTGTTGCAACAATTAATAGATTCATGATCAATTAACATGAGTTCAACTCATTATCAATCTGTATCACTACTTGTAACTTTACTGAGAACATTTAAAGGGTCTGGTCGGGGAAAAAATGTCATATTTGCTAAAATGGCATACACACACCTACGTATGAAATACACCGATCCAAATTTTCCTGAAATTCACTCCCTAAGAGTAAAAATTACAATTATATTAAAGAAATCCTAAATCGTCACCTGACAGTCTAAAACTCTCAATTGACCCAGATCAGTGATGTAATTTTACCGCACGCGCGTCATCAACAAGGCCAAATGTAAACTTTGTGGCGAAAGAAAAAGATGCATGCAAAAGTCATGAAAGGCACGAGGTATCAATACCGTTATATATAACAACAACATATAGGTAGGAATACTACACTTGCATCATACATGACCTTTGAAAACAATTATTTACGTATAGTATTGCTGTTTTGTCCGCTAGTTGAGTCTGACATGGCACATGACGGCGTGCTATTGTTGTTATCTTCACTGCCTCACTTTCGAAACAACCACATGACATAAATAGATCTGCGCTAAATTTACGCGGGGCTTCTCGAGATTTCAGTGGTCAAAACTGGACATTGCAAGCAGAACTCGACCATCATATTGCCGTGGTATAACTTTTGGAAGGCCAGAGAACGCATTTAGACCCATTTATTTTGTATTTTTTCCCCTGACCAGCCCCTTTAATATATAACTTGGTTTCATAAGTTTCCAGTCAGATTAAGGTAGTTCTTTATGCATGACTTACTCAGTAAAATCACTACTTTTGAGACTTTCATAAATTAAAGCAGTAATTTTTTTTTAAACACTGCTTTGTTTTCAACCATTTCTTTTGTAAAGGTAATTGTCGATGAATAAACTGGTCCTGAAATGATTATTCTATTTATATATGCATATATACAATTTGATTACATGGTAGCAATTTAATTGTAAAGTAATATATATTACCCCCACCTATATACATGCATATTTAATTAAAGGTGGATTGATGGGGATTTTATTTTGGCATAATGCTAATATATTGCTGATAATCACTGGATATTCAGATTTCTGGAATTGCTTTTAATTTTGTTTAAACTCACAAGAAACCTTTCATAGTCATTATTTTATTGCTTGTCATTGAGGTTTCGTTAATTTTAAGAATCAGTAGTTGGAAGCAATGGAAGGGTGATTACTTTGCATACATGTGTATCTACCTTAAGCTTGTGGAAATCTGATGCATTTGTTTTCCATACTTGTCATTTCAGATTGATATTCTCAGACCAGACTTCAAGAAATCTGTTCTTTTTTATGTTGTTGAATCTCTCATTTGCTTTTGTTGAACTTACATATGGAATTTGGACGAACAGGTAAGCATCAACTTATTTTATAATTTGTTTACAAACCCTGATATGGTGTCAAAAGGCATTTATGTATCCACACAATTTACCAAGCATGAAATATATGAATCTCTACAGTGGTTTTTTTTTCTAGGAACTTTTGGGGGCCGATAATGGGAACTATTTCCAATTGAAACTAGGGCATATTTCATATTTATGCCTAGTTCCAAATTGTACTTTACTTGCAACCCCCCACCCCCAGATGCCATGATTACTATTCTAACATATTTGTAATGTGTTGTAAATTAACAAATTTACCCCCACATGCTACAATAGTCTTTGTATAATTAGAGAAAGCATGATCAAGTTCAAGTTTTATATTTATTAAACTGATTTAAAAATGTAAAGTAGTAAATACTTTTCTTAGCTTATTTTCAAATACTGCACAGGTAGTCAACAAAAATTAGAATTTGTGAGATTTCTGACATTAATTATTATAATTATTATTTTCTTTCCAGTTTGGGCCTCATATCTGATTCCTTCCACATGTTTTTTGACTGTACAGCCCTGCTTGCTGGCCTAGCCGCCTCAGTCATATCTAGATGGCGAGCCACAGAAGCTTATTCCTATGGGTAAAATTCTTTTACTTTGTCATGAAATGACTTTAAGAAAGTCTCAGTCCCCATGCTTTTTGTCATGGTGGACCTGGGAAAATATTCCGGTAAAGTTTGTATAGCTGGACACAGAAATGATGCATTTAAGACAGATTTTTTCATTATTGTTGGTGTAAGTAGGCTAGGTATACATAATCTTACTAAATAATAATTCTGATTGTAAACATCTGTGATGTAAGCAAGCTCGTCATGTCCTGTGACTATTTTTATGAGTGTAAAAGAATACCAGTATTTTCATAAGTCTTGGAATTGGTCATTTGAAGATCTTCTTTTATAAAACACCCAGCTTGTTTAAAAATACACAGTATTTTAAAATGCAGTTATTTGCTCATTTTTCACTTTTTCATATAGGTATGTTCGTGCTGAAATAGTAGCTGGGTTTGTGAATGGACTTTTCTTACTTTTCATTGGATTTTTCATCTTTTCGGAAGCTGTAGAGGTGAGTAACAATTGCAAGATAGATAAGGGATTGCTTGCTTTTTATAATTCTTTATACAGAACTCAAATGCGCTGTAATGTCAACAATCGAGAGCCAAAATTAATGGTTGACTGCATAAGAGATACTTAAAATGAACTTATCTGATGATAGAATTTTGAGAGTTAAAAAAATAATCTACAAATTGAAAAGCATGCATTAATTATGTAATGTCTCAGTCTTGTATATAATTATCTCCCTTGAACCACCAGTAATACTACTAGTTTTGTTCATCATATTGCAAATGGTTTGAGCAGAGTTGTTTGTTTATAAAATAGGGATGGAGATTCTGGTTTGATAATTTTTTCTGTCTAGTATTGACAAGTCTTTCAAAGCCTGCATTGAAGGTTTATAGGTCTTCAAGATTTTACCCCTAAACATGTTACATATAAAAGTTAACAAACTTGTTGTTCCACATAAACAACAAACTCTATATATAACATATAAAAGCATGGCTGTGTATTCACATTCTTGATTTTGGAAACGACTTTGGAACTGTGAACTTACAGATATTCCACTTCACAAATACTTGTTCTGGCAGCCTCACAAATTTATATATTAAACTCGGATATATATCATGTTATATAGTTTACAAATATATTTCAAATAACACTGGGGGGATATAATAAGATGTAAGGTATAGTTTGATTAAAATGTTTCATTTTTAATGTAAAAACATGAACTGTACCAAACTTTCTTCACTTTCGTTGTCTCTACCAAACTTTTACTAACTAATTTCTACAAAGATTTACCATATTGATTCATTGATTTTCTGTAGAGGTTGGCTGAGCCCCCAGAAGTGAAACATGAACGACTCTTCCTGGTGTCAGTGGCTGGATTCATTGTCAATCTTATAGGAATTTTCGCTTTTCAACATGGACACGGCCATTCTCATGGTGGTGGAGGAGGTATGTGACAGTATTTCACTGGAAGAAAATTGTTTTAAATGTCTCGGTCATATAGTGCCCCATTAAATAATCCCATTTCCATCCATCCTCCCATACAACATCTTGGTCAGATTTGCTCTTAGCTTCATTATTCTAATGCTAAATGTCAGCAGTCGTAAAAGTTCATATTTGGATACATCTAGATGACATAGGTGACAATCACCCCGAACTGTGCAGGGTAGTGACGGAAGGTGTCAATCATCCCGGACTGTGCAGGGTAGTGACGGAAGGTGTCAATCACCCTGGACTGTGCAGGGTAGTGACGGAAGGTGTCAATCACCCTGGACAGTGCAGGGTAGTGACGGAAGGTGTCAATCACCCTGGACAGTACAGGGTAGTGACGGAAGGTGTCAATCACCCTGGACAGTGCAGGGTAGTGACGGAAGGTGTCAATCACCCAGACTGTGCAGGGTAGTGACGGAAGGTGTCAATCCCCCTGGACTGTGCAGGGAAGTGACGGAAGGTGTCAATCACCCTGGACAGTACAGGGTAGTGGCGGAAGGTGTCAATCACCCCGACTGTGCAGGGGAGTGACGGAAGGTGTCAATCACCCCGGACTGTGCAGGTAGTGACGGAAGGTGTCAATCACCCCGGACTCTGCAGGGGAGTGACGGAAGGTGTCAATCACCCCTACTGTGCAGGGAAGTGACGGAAGGTGTCAATCACCCTGGACAGTACAGGGTAGTGGCGGAAGGTGTCAATCACCCCGACTGTGCAGGGGAGTGACGGAAGGTGTCAATCACCCTGGACAGGGCAGGGTAGTGACGGAAGGTGTCAATCACCCTGGACAGTGCAGGGTAGTGACGGAGGGTGTAATTCCCCCCGACTGTGCAGGGTAGTGACGGAAGGTGTCAATCACCCTGGACAGTACAGGGTAGTGACGGAAGGTGTCAATCACCCCGACTGTGCAGGGTAGTGACGGAAGGTGTCAATCACCCTGGACAGGGCAGGGTAGTGAGGGAAGGTGTCAATCACCCTGGACTGTGCAGGGTAGTGACGGAAGGTGTCAATCACCCCGGACTGTGCAGGGTAGTGACGGAAGGTGTCAATCACCCTGGACTGTGCAGGGTAGTGACGGAAGGTGTCAATCACCCTGGACTGTGCAGGGTAGTGACGGAAGGTGTCAATCACCCTGGACTGTGCAGGGTAGTGACGGAAGGTGTCAATCACCCTGGACTGTGCAGGGTAGTGACGGAAGGTGTCAATCACCCCGGACTGGGCAGGGTAGTGATGGAAGGTGTCAATCACCCCGGACTGTGCAGGGTAGTGACGTAAAATCCTTAAAAATTAGCCCAAACCCCTATGAGATGAGTAGTACATCAATATATATATAAAATGAACGTCACTGTGACCTATATTTTCTTCTTAACTGACTAATCATTTAGCTCTATTTCTGTCAGAGGGGGAGTGGCATGCATGTACTTGACAGCATATTATTTTCTAGTTTTCAAGAATTGCCTTGAATATAACATTATACATAGTTGTAATATTTGTGTTATAGAATATATTTTGATTTGTATTGTTACATTGATAAAATATTATAGAGAAATAGAACATATTTTAATATATATTGGAATATTTTATATAATATTTGTGAATAATAGAATATTGTATTGGTACATTGTTACAATATTTGTGAGTAATAGAGTATATATTAATGTGTATTGTTACATTTATAAAGAATTTGTGAATGATTGGAATGTTTTATTTTTCAGATCATGGTCACTCTCATGGTGGACATGGACACAGTCATGGCTTGGGTAAGATTTCTGTCATGTCAGACTGCTGTTGTTTCTATTAAACTACAAAATCATTTGTACTCGTGTGCAAGGTCCAGTTATATAAGTACACTGTATATGGAAGTGTATATGCATGTTTCTTCATTGAAGAGCTTCAAAAGAAGCAAAAAGTGCTAGTCAACAATGTTTGATTCCCATATATATATACCTTCACAAGGGTGTTATAGTATTGTCAAAGTTTTTTCGGAGTTAAACATTTAGAAAATTGGTGTGTCAGACTCATTATTGGTTTCTGAAACAATGCCATTTCTACTGTATTTGGTTTCAATGTTTTGCTAATATATTGACAGGAATGGAGTCTCACAGTGATCAAGACAACCACGGTCACAGTCACGATGGAGGTCATGCTCATGGCGAATTAGATTCCTCAAAAAAAGCAGCACAATCTCAAATCATGCAAGGTAGGGCACTGAGTAGAACTCAGCAGAAAATTAATACATGGTTGTTGATTTTGGCATCAGTAAATGTTTCTTAAAATTTATAATTTTGAAATGACTAGTACAGTAAGACACAGTTGTAAAAAAACTATTTCTCGAATGATCTGCCATGATATAGATAACACCATCTAAATTACCTCCCTTTCACCACAAATTGCTATAATCATGAATTTAACAGGGACCTTCCACTTGTGAAAATGCTTTATCGCAACTAGGTCTGTATCACTTTGGAAATGTATATAAAAAATGTGTCATTCAGGAAAAATATCAAATGGAAATGTTGGAGAAGTCAGATCATTTAGTCACACTAAATGTTTAATTTGCTAAATTGATATCAATATTTTTTTCTGTTTCAGGTGTATTTTTACATATATTAGCAGATACACTAGGCAGTGTGGGAGTCATTATCTCCTCTGGGTTGATACACTATTTTGGATGGATGCAGGCAGATCCTATATGTTCTTTATTCATAGCTATTTTAATTACAATAAGGTAAGATATTAATATTGCTCTGATCGATCAAAAATTACTTTATATGATCTTTGGATCTTCAAAACGATAAAAAAAAAAAAAAAAAAAAAAAAAAAAAGATCTATGTACATTTGAAGGAGTAGAAAACCATTGGTTATTTAAGGGTAATTAATTGAACATCTAATGGAGAATCATCGATAATTTTAAAATTTCTTTAATTAACTCCTGTTCGTTAATGTTTCTTTACATGAATTTGGTTAATGTCAGCAATTATGAGCCATGAACTATTGCATGTGTTGAATGAATTATCTATGTAATGTTTTTGCTCTTATTTTCCAGTGTTTTGCCATTACTTAGAGATTCTGTCGGTATTCTCATGCAGAGAACACCCAGATCATTGGAGTCACAACTACCATCATGTTATAATAGAGTAAGTAGAGCTTACCAATATATATGTGATACAATTCTATTTTAGTTCAAGGATAAAAGTTATCTATGCTCACTTTCGCTCTCTGCACCCCTGGAATATGTCATAGCAAAATGATTCGCCCAACTAGCTATTTGATTGGTCTCAAGTAAAAAAAAAATGACCAATTGCTAGGCTGACACCTGCCCTTTGAAGATTACAGAGGAGCAGACACCCTAGTCCCTACTTCAAAGCCAGTCAATTTTACCATTACATGACCGACAGATTCTTTTGATGTACATCAAAGGACCAAACTAGTCTTCTTGTTTAATCCACAAGTTGGTGCACACTAAGCCTTCGATTTTGCTATGAAATATTTCAGGAGTGCAGTGAGCATATTTGAGTGTAACCCTGGAGTATTGAGGATGAAGAATCTATTAATTCATAGAAACATGCATTCTCGTGTACATTTTATATGTGTCACATTGGTTACTTAACATGTCTCTTAATGAATACCTCTTATATGTTTTTCTGCTGTGATACTCTCTTTTTTTTTTTAAAGAAAATGTATGTCACAGTAAGATAGCATATATCCTTAAAACCAACTCATTCTTAATCTGCGTTTATCTGATAATTTTTTTGTTGATGAAACTTTTACATAATGAATTTATTATCTGATAAATCTTTTATCTTATAGATCTTTGATCTGATAAATCTAATACCTTATAGATATGTTAAACTTGTCAATGTTTTTCTTGTATGTTGACAGTGACAGATGTAAGTTTAAACATCATGTATCGGTTAATGGTTTGTGTTGTAGGTGAGTCAGTTAGAGGGAGTCTACAGTGTCCAGGAGCCTCACTTTTGGACGTTGTGCAGTGACGTCTACGTCGGAACAATAAAGTTGGAAGTATCATCTAAAGCCGATGCCAAATATATTTTAAGCCATACACATAATTTATTTACACAGGTAAGAAATAAGTCTCATGACTATATGCACTGTATTTCATGAAACATTTCTTTGTGTTTTCTTTCCTTGTTTTACGTTTTCAAACTAATTTGCTGATCTAAAGTATCTTGATACTTCATAATGTATGTTTTGCAAATGTGGTTGAGAGATCACCGATGTTTATAGGGACTACTTTATATGTTCCCAATGAAGTTAGTTTTGTGATAAGTGGACCTGTATAAAGGGACCACCTGTAATATGAGACCACTTTATGTACTTCGTGGTCTCCCAGTACAGCTTTGACTGTATACGAAGTACAGTAGTCTACCAGTACAGCTTTGACTGTATACGAAGTACAGTAGCCTACCAGTACAGCTTTGACTGTATACGAAGTACAGTAGTCTACCAGTATGCATGGTTCTGTCGTAACAATGAAAATGTTTCACGACAATTGTGTTTAAAAATAAACTATTTGAATTTTTTGATAAAAAAACCCATCAAATTAGTCATGAATATTCAATTACCACATTTTTAAACATGATACACTTGTACCACCTTAAATAAGTGCAGTATCTGAAGAAATTTAATTTTTCTGTATTTCTTTCTTTCAGATTGGAGTAAGACAGTTGTATGTACAGATTGATTATTCTGCCATGTAGGTGTCAAGTACCAAGTGACCTTCATCTCTATAAACTCATATGACCTCTGACCCTGAGCATCAACTCATATGACCTCTAACCCTGAGCATCAATATAAGTTTCATTTTAGTATGCTGATTCATCATGTGCAGTGTAAATGAATGTGTAAGTGGGAGTGTGAAAAATGCTGGCATCAAAAAGGACAACATAAATTCATTATAAACTGTATTTGGAAGAATGCAGTATTTCCTATGCCAGATTATCATCAAGATTTTTGGACTTATGATAAAGATTCATCTATATGCCTTGCCTGGTAAACAATGTTGAATTTACCCGACACAATTCCTGTTAGTCAGATGTATCACCAACTTAATACATTTGTACTGCTCTTTGACTTATACATCATAGTGTATAATCTTGATTCCAAATTAATGATATGCTAATTCAGTTTAAACAAAAAATAATCTTTGTTGGACTTAGTTTAATGTCTGATTTTAGCGATTTTTATAACATTCTACAATTTAAAAGAAACTTGTTTTTTAAGTCAATTCTTTTGTGGTAAATTTGTGTCAAAATTTTCACTGACAAATTTCACAATTTACAAAGGGCATGCGAGGGTTTATGTACGTGACAATAGCAAATTAAACAACATTAAAATTCATACTAAGGTCTAGATTGTTTCATGATCATTGTGGTTTCATATTTTGGCCTGATGTAATGGTCAAATAATTTCATCTCTTGGATAAGTTCAATTATTTTTCTATAATATGAGCTGATTTTTCTGTTATCATTTGTTAAGTGTTGCTCTGTGTTACTGATTCTAACAATCTTTTAAATCTTTTGTTGTGAAAAGGATTTGTATTTTGTTTTGTACATTGGTGAAATATTGGTTACAATCCAAAATAAAGCTGGATTTTCTTATGATGATTCCTCAGTGAGGTGGAAAAATGTAACTTTCAAGCAACAAGTATTAGGATCAACTTTCAAAAAATCATGGGCATTGAGCAGTTTTATTCCTGTGTCTGACGAAAACCACTGTCAATCTAAAAAACTCTGCTAAAAATTAAAAGGATAGATTTTTTTGCATCTCAAAAAAGTTATATCAGGATCATTTAAGTTAACAGCAAATAAGCGAAAAGATTATATTTGTGATGTTAATATTATTGAAACTGAAAACAAGTTTTTTTTTGTCCTTAGATTCATATTCTGCATGTTAATACAAGTGGGAATGAATTTGAGAAGTTTGCTTTACCGGTAAGTTTAATTGAACTACCCTAATATGATGAAGTTTGGTACTACTGGATCCCAGTCTGTAGATAAATCCACTATATTATTAATTAGGTGTATAATTGAGGTAAAAACATCACCTGTACTATCAATACATGTATAGACCCTGCTACTAAGTTACTGGACAGTACTCATTAAAAGGACATGGGTGGTATTGGATGTTTTTTGGGTTTTTTTAATACAATGTATGTTGGCAAAATGTTTTCTGCTTTGAACAGCCTAAGACAGAATGTTTGGTTACTGTACGATAAAAGGAGGGTGTAGAATGCTTTGGATTTCTCCTTGCATATGTGGAATGTAAACCAAAGAATTAATTTATTTATTTGAGGTATTTAATACATGTAGTTATTGTTAAAATGTGATAAATCTGATGCATTCCATCAATGAAATTGAGCAAAAGTAAGGGATCAAATGAAAGACATGATTTTAGGAATTATGAATAAAATTTTGATATGTACATAAGTGAATCTAATTTAGAAAATATGGATTACATGTCATTGTAGTATTGTTTAAAAGAAAAAAAGAAAAAAAAACATGCCCATGATGTGGTTGGTTGATATGTTTAGTGTTCTGTGTATCTAGTAACTTAGATACTACTGGCAGGTAATCTGTTTGTTGATGACAAGTCAATTCTATTGGTTGTACGATTGTTAAGAAAATTACATTATGAACATCTATTATATGTATACATAGATGAAGCTAAATGGGAAGAAAAAATTAGTGGCATCTATCAATGCTGTATGATGTAGATGGAGAAATCTTAGCCCAGTTTATCTTTCTTGGTCTACAACAAGCTGAGGTAATTATTTTCGTCGAATCAGAAGTAAAATGCAGCATTTACTTTGTGTTCCTGACATTAAAACTTGATGATCTATGATTGTTACTCTACAGTGCATGCCAGCTGTCGGGAATTAAGGGCTAGACAGGGATTTTTCACCGTCAAAATAGAGACTACATAGTTAGTTTCTTTAAATACAAGGTGTATTTAGGCAATGTTAAGAAATGATAAATACAAGGTGTATTTAGGCAATGTTAAGAAGTGACTAAGATGGTGATATTTTTATGTAACAGAAATGCTGATGTTAGGTGCCAATCAACCTCTATAATGAATAGACTCGGATTAGACATTTAAGAATATTTCCCCAGGGTTGATATTTTTTTGTCTTACGCCAAAGGTGGGGAGAGATTTTCTTCATCATTTCCTGGATGTTGAAGAAGGGCTTTGCTGTGTATCCTAGTGTAAACGACTTATCGGTTTACATAGAGTGAAATATACAGAATTTCAGGAAACATCAGAATTTTGTGTCATTAGATATTCAAAATGATGTTCTATCTATAAAAAAAGAAGCATTTTCAGAGAACTTGTTGGTAGGGCTGTATTACAGCTGTAGTTTATTTTATTAGTTCCTACCCTCACACGTCCAGTGCTACTTTCAGGACCTTTAATGGCTGCCTGATAGATAACGAATATTTCACTAGTATGGCTGAATAAGGATCCTGCACGTGCAGTAGAGATATAATCCAGACACCAACATCCTAGAGACTGCATTTCCAGATGTTGGGAAACTCTATAGGGATCCACAAACTTCATTCTAACTTTGTCTTTGAAAAACTGTCCTGACTAACAGGGATCCACTGTACTAGAAGCCATAACCTGTACAGTTAGACTTACCCTGCAAGTCGTCGTGGTCAGGGTACAGTTTTAACACGGTTTGTTACTTTATTTGTTAATATTTGGTATAAACAAAAAGACAGTTTTCATTGTTTATTGACCAAAACTGTTCCTAAACTGACAAACACCGAGCACATTTTTGTTTTGCTGTAATATTATTTTAGATGTATTACTGTACTGTATTATAATTAAGATTTCATAGCAAGGTATTAGGTACCCCTGTGGACTTTATTCATGTTCATTTCAAATGCAATATCTGACAGGTGCCAGTGTGTAATTTTACCATGTAACTGCCACCATAGGATCACCTGGTTTGTCTGGGCTGTGTGTAACAACATTTGTGTAACTTGTGGAGCAGCTGTTCGTTGTTATGGTATGAGAAAGGTATTTGATGCAAAGCAAATTCTGTGATTATGGTATTTGTTACTTTGGCTGCAAAAGTCTCACTTTTTCTTTTATTCCTTGTGAATTTTGAATTGTCTTTTACCTAAAGGATTTTTTTCTTTGTGTACTTTTTTTTAGATAACTATTTTTTTTCTTAAATCAGAAGTTTTAGTAAAACAATCAAAATCGTGTGGGTAGTACACTTTGTACAACTACGTGAACTTTTCATTTGATTGTATAGTCTGTAATTGTTACATGCAGAGTGTGTGTTTGTTGTCAGTCAGACATAAATCACATATGTCATTCAATGAACTATTTTCTCCGAGAGACAACATTTCAAGCGAGGTCATGGTCTGTTCAAACTTTCATTGAACCAAAATTTTTGTCACATAAGAACTGCCAATGGAAGGAATGTCTTGTACAGGTATTTCGACACTTGCCACTGAGCTTCCTGAATGTGCATTGCTTCACAAAATCATAAAAGTAGCTGTGCAATATGATTTGGTTTAAATCTATTCAGTATAACATTGTTATTGTTTTTGTTTGATATTTTTAACTGCCACCATTTCAAGTTGTCAAACAGACTATGCAACTAATGCATAGACTATTAGTCATAACTGACAATTTCTAATATGTACTGTACAATGTACATATGTGTGACATGTGCTGTACACTGAACATGTGGAATATATTCTGTACAATGTACATATGTGTGGCATGTGCTGTACACTGACCATTTTTAATATGTACTGTACAATGTACATATGTGTGGCATGTGCTGTACACTTACCATTTCTAATATGTACTGTACAATGTACATATGTGTGACATGTGCTGTACACTGACCATTTGTAATATATTCTGTACAATGTACATATGTGTGACATGTGCTGTACACTGACCATTTCTAATATATTCTGTACAATGTACATATGTGTGACATGTGCTGTACACTGACCATTTCTAATATGTAATGTACAATGTACATATGTGTGACATGTGCTGTACACTGACCATTTCTAATATGTAATGTACAATGTACATATGTGTGACATGTGCTGTACACTGACCATTTCTAATATATTATGTACAATGTACATATGTGTGACATGTGCTGTACACTGACCATTTCTAATATATTCTGTACAATGTACATATGTGTGACAGGTGTAATATACACTGAACATGTGTAATATATTCTGTACAATGTACATATGTGTGACATGTGTAATATACACTGAACATGTGTAATATATTCTGTACAATGTACATATGTGTGGCATGTGCTGTACACTGAACATGTGTAATATATTCTGTGCAATGTACATATGTGTGACATGTGCTGTACACTGAACATGTGTAATATATTCTGTACAATGTTCATATGTGTGACATGTACTGCACAGTGTACATAATTGTGATATATACTACTTACTAAGAAATCTGATAGGTCCGACATCATTTCAAAGCCTAGCTGGATTTTATACCAGCATTGTAAGTGTATGTCTATGGCATGCTTTTTAAGTGTATGACTAAGATTTGTGTCTATAATAGGCTTTCTTACTTTGTCTAGAATATGCTTATTAAATGTATATCTAGGATATGCTTTGTAAGTGTGATCTGCTATCCTTATTAAGTATTATTGTATTGGAACTGCATGCTCTTTATATCTTTAAATGTTTTACAAACCAGCTGATGTCCATGTCTGTCACAAACATTGGAAATCTCATGGAAAATGTTGCAACTACAATGTAAATTTCTTCAGCATTTTCCATAGACAGTTTCCTGTTCAATTTGATAAATTTTAATTTTGCCAAAATAGGAGGTTTGAAATAATTCTAAATTTGAATTTGCCAAAATCAATATTGTGATCATGACTTAATATACTTACAATAATGAATTTTGAACCTTATTTAAATTGTAAAGCTGATGTGTTTGAACATACAAAATCAATGTTGCAAAGATCTGATATGGTGGCAGGTAGCATTCTTGATTGAACTTTTTGTATTGTCTCCTAATCAAGTTTCTATTGTTGATTAACCTGTTAACAAGTGACAACCTCACAACATTATTACTCACTGTCAAAGTAATAAACATTTCACAAGTTACTTAAAAGTATGTTAGGATTTCACAACGAATCCCAAACACTCGATATCAAAATATCTTGGAACTTTTTGTTTTGAATTCTACTCTGTTCTTTGTTTTGATTTTCTACTTTATTACATTTTTATTAGTATAAGTATAATTTTTCTATTGTAACAAGTATATGTTTTGTCTGAATAGTTTCAATCAACATAATACTAAGTTACATATATACTAACTCTTAAAAGCACCTGTTTGTTTCAGTATTTTCTATATAAACATTTCATTTCATTTTTTTTTTTTAATGTCAAGTCTGTCAATTTTTCATGTGAAGAAATGTGTGTGTATTAAAAGGGGCCTAAACATGGAACATTCTGCTGTTTACATGTTAAGTTTGCTTCCTATTAGTGTATGCCAGAAGTCTAATCTAAAACATCAGGGTTTTCCCATGCTATAAATAGATCAATATAAATATGCTATTTGTAGTGTACTTTCACTATCATTTGTATCACATCCTAGGAGCCACACTGATAAGTTTGCCTGGTTTGCAACAACTTAAAACATTTTGTATCTAGTACATTTAAAAAAGAAAAGAAAAAAAAGAAAAAAAACACCCCACTATATTATAGGGATTCAAAAGGATTAAAATCTGAGGAAAAGAAATACAAAAATATTTAGAAATTTTCAGATAATTTTCAAAAACCATATTAAGAAATAGAGTTGATGCCTTTTTCAGTTTACCAGGCTTTAAAAACCGGGAAAGATTGAAATAGTAACTTCAGTCTTTTTTTGTATACATATATGTGTTATTTATGTTAAAAAGACCAAGTCATGTTCTATTAAGATTAACTTGTACTATATAATTACACAACAACTCACCTTTGAGGCATCTTCTTGTACATTCTGCTCCTGAATTGTCAATATCGGGGATTGTCATCATTGGGAATTCATCTATGACATTTTGTAGTATGTTTTACAAAAATGAGTACTCAGTTTGATAAATAATGTAAATTTGATTGTGCCAGATGTTAAGGAAACAACCAGTGGAATGAAACGTTATTTACCAATAATACAGGGTATTATTCACTTGTCAGATAAGTTGTTTTATTTATCCTTTTTGAAATGTGTTTCTTTGTTTGTTGATATAAGAATGTGTTGTATGGAATATTCATTTCAAATGGCATGAAATAATTGAGCACATGATTTCGTGTTTGAGAAATACCTGTAATCAGAATTGCACAGTACAGATTCACTGAAGTACTTACCCCAGTAACTTGAGAGCATTCTTGACATTTATATATATTTTTCTATCTTGTATCTCCTGAATGTTACAGACTTATTATAAATGAAATTTATTCATCGTTCATGGGAAAGAATATTTGTAAAAATGGTGTATGAATAATTCTGCTTTTGATCTTATATTTGATTAAATACAGCTGTTATTAATACAAGTGAATACTGAGAACTGAGAAAATTCTTGAAGTTATGAAAGTTTGTGAAATTGGGCTTTGGTGTTTTTTTCATCAAACTTTTTGCCACTGTAGAGTGATTTAATCACTGATGCATGTCCTTTATTCTAGAAATGTACTATTCTAGTCAAATGTTAGTAGTTATTGCCATGTTTGTCTAAAGTATATATGTCGACAGCATTTGTTCTTAGTTAAGTAGTTTCACTTCTCATGTTTACATTTGCATATATGTATATACATGTATTCAGCTACAGGTACTAAAAAAGCAATGATAAATAACTGTCTGTAAATACCTGTACTATGTAACATGGAAATTTCGCTGTAATTATATTGATGATTACAGCAGAACATCAGATATTGGTACATATACAGTAGATATGTGTAAACCTTATCTGACTAATACTTACAAGTACCAGTCATCTGTGAAATAAGCATCAACACAATAGTTATGATGGAAAGTGAAAATAATTTTGCACATCTTAATCAGTATTTAATTTGTTATAAGTGACCAGAAGTATACCCTACATACACACACTTGGATTTGGTTTTACCTGTAAATAAAGTGTTGGTCCAAAAGATTTAATGGCATGGTTGCTAATTTCTTATTGTTCATAGTTTAGCCTTTGTATAAAAGACACTAGCACCAAACTGACATTACCTAGGCAAGTGTTATTTAAATATTGTTCTTTTCTTTCCAATGCTGTAGATCAATTAACGTAATGGATGGATGCATGGACCAATCAGATGACATTTGTTTGATATCAAATGGATCTTGAAAGTAAATATTTAACTTGCATGGACCAATCAAATGACATTTGTTTGATATCACATGGATCTTGAAAAGTAAATATTTGACTTGCATGGACCAATCAAATAGCATTTGGTTGATATCACATGGATCTTGATAGCAAATATGTCACTTGTATGGACCAATCGAATAGTTTACAAATCAGATTGATTCCAATGATATCTGTGAAGATGACAGATTTAGGTAGGTTGTATAATAAATGCAGTCCTCTGAGAGATAACAGGTGCTTTGATAATTTTGCTGTTGGATGGTAACTCTGTTTAATGATGTATATATCTATTGTAGTTGTACTACGCACTAGACCTCGTACTTAAAGGCATACTGGCTCATTCTGTGTCCATGTGTTGGTATTTTCCGTTTGTAGATCCGCTGGATAATTAAGGTGCTGGTACAACTTTTGTGGAAGCTTTCCACAAAACATGAAAATAAACTAAATGATGATATTTTAATACCATGTGTTATATTTTTCTGTTATATTTTAATGTTATGATGTTGAAAAACAAGGTATACTGATTCAAATTAGATGATGACACCAAGTTATATATCCTCATTGGTTGAACCGGGTACCATAAACACATGGTGGTTGGTGATATGCAATATTGACTCGATTTTACGATTTAAAAAAAGGTAGGTCAATGGTCTCTTTATAATGTCACTTCATTTGTAATGTCACAATGATGTCTACCAAATGTAGTACTTATCTCTTGATTTGCATACATGGCATCTTGTTTTTAAATTCAGCATCATCTCATACCTAAAATGTAATACAGTGTATAACATTTATTTTAATGAATATGTGGGTATATGGATTAAAAAGTGATATGGACTTCAGCTTGGCTAATATCTCTGTCTCCGGTCCATATAACTACATTTTCACCTCTACATAATCCTTAATTGATTAATAACAAATACCCTTTTCAGCATAAATGAACAATTTGATAGTGAAAAATTCAAAATATATTTTGTAGACAAGATATGAATGAACAGGAATCTCGATAAAAAACAACCTTAATTTTCATTATCTTGATTTCCCCAAATTTTAAAATTACATCAACATAAAACTTGGGCTTGGTGTATATTACCTGAGGATAGATGTAAATTTCCTGAGGCTTGGTGAAATTTATCTGAGCATAGGTGTATATTACATAAGGCTAGGTGTATATTACCTGAGGCTTGGTGTACATTATCTAAGGATAGATGTAAGTTTCATAAGGCTAGGTGTATATAACCCGAGGCTTGGTGTACATTATCTGAGGATATGTGTATATTGCCTGAGTCTAAGTGTACATTATCTAAGGATAGATGTAAATTGCATAAGGCTAGGTGTATATTACCCGAGGCTTGGTGTATATTGTACATTATTTGAGGATATCTGTAAAATTGCCCGAGTCTAGGTGTACATTACCTGAGGATTGGTGTATAGTATCTAAGGATAGATGTAAATTGCATAAGGCTAGGTGTATATTATCTGATGATAGGTGTATTTTACCAGAGGCTGAGTGTATACTATCTGAGGCTTGGTGTATATATATTACATAAGGATAGGTGTATATTATCTGAGGCTTGGTGTTTTATAACTATATTATATATCTGAGACTTGGTGTATATCTGAGGCTTGGTGTATATTTCCCAAGGCTCAGTGTCCCACGACCAGACTTCACTATTTTGGATGATTTTTTTGCTAGTGATATTGTTTTTTGAGTCCATACAATAATACCATATTTTTTTTCTGGGCTGAAATCGAGTTTACCTAATGTGTCATTGATTTAATAATTATTACTGGCCATATCTTCCTTATAGTTTTAGTTTATATGAATATATATATACAGGAAAACAAGATATGTAAACATAATTGTTTATATCAAAATACTGTAAACACACAGGGTATGTAATATTATCCTTACCTCTGTGTATAGCTCATTTGTAATAGTTAATGAGGATGATGATGCTACAGGTTCCCTTGAGAGTCAGTAGTACAGACAGTAACGGTAACCTTGCTTTTTATACGCCCGTCACATTTGGTATGGGTTGTCCGTCCGGCGTGAACTTTTGTTTGTCCAGCAATCTCCTCCTACATTTTTTTACCGATCTCTTTGAAACTTGGTATACATTATAATCATGATATGAAGTTGTGTCTCCCTTAAAAGAATTTTGATTCGACAATAATTGCAAAAGTTCTTGCCATTTGTTCATTTCAGTATTTGATTTTTTGTCCGGAGATTTCCCCCCTACATTTTTATAGCATATGTCATGCAGCTAACCATTCTTAGAATGATGCAGATCTTATTTCAATGTAAGAAAATATATAACACTATACGGCATTCGACGGTACTCTCAAAGTTGTTTTGGTGTGTGATTGGTTTTCATCATTTTTGCTTAGATGAACAAAAGCAACAAAAAAAACATTTGGTTCGCCTATCTTAATATGGCTTCCTATGTCGCCTTAATGGTGCTTTCCGGCGTGGGAGGATATTACAATGTCATATTGGGCATGGACCTGGGTCAGTCATATGCAGTAGGTTGGAATGCAGTCGCGATGAAAACGGAGAAAATTTTGAGAGAAAGACAAAAGAGAAGATAATTTAACTGTTAGAATAACAAATTCTCACACTTGTGTCCAATCACTTTGAAGTATTGAATTGAACCTGTCTTGTTATTAATATATTTTTCAAACTAATTGATGATATAATTGATTCAATTGTACCACGGAATTAGATTGCTGGGCAAGTCCGTGATTGAACATAGGATAAATCGAATGGAAGAGGAAGATAGCTTAATTAATGCAACATTTCCGCTTTATTATGAGATAGAAGCAATTATTCGACTAAGTGTTTAATTTGCGTTCCACACATCACACTATAATGAAACTCTAACATCGGACATCAAGATAATAAAAATTGTAAGAGTCCCACTCTTCTCTATGTTTATTATATCCGTTACAGACGGGACCAGTCTACTTCAGATGAAATTCACATTATAAGTGGTCATTTTTGGCTTATCTGTTGTAGTTCTGTTTTTCTCCGCCAGGTAGCGCTTCAGACGCAGATAGTCTTGATCATTCAAACTGTTGTCCTCTCCGCCGAACACAAACGTCTTGATGACCAAGACTGATCTTCATAAGGCGCTAAGATACAAGTGACTCCATAGCAACGAACAAACTCTAAGAGATCGCGAGCTTTCTACCTCTCGGCATTATGACCATGGATTTAGGAACCTTGATGCTAAACAAGTCTGTTTTACAGAGTGAAAATTTAGGAAACAAGTTTTACGAAAGCAGAAAGTATTCATTGCCCGGATATTACGGTTGTTATGGTTCAAGGTGGACGGAAAACAGAGCATTCATGGTGAGAAGTGATATTTTTACATGTTTAGTAGACTATGAATCTAACCTAACGCCAAAGCCTACTGTAACCTATCTACTTACTTCAAAGTTGCCGAGGGACAAACCAGGTGTAATATACACGATAACACGATAGATTCACATATTATATAGTATTATAGACTTATTTGGGGTGGGTTGGGTATTGATAAATGGAACTAGCCTAACGTTAAGCGTTTTCTCCAGAAACTGAGAAATGCGGGAATTGTGAGGTGTAACTTTCCTCTCCCACACAAAATATTCCATTTTTATTTATTTATTTATTTATTTGTAGCCGTTATTTGTATTAACCGAGTACTATTTTGCTGATAGTATGTCTATTATAGCGCTTCCAATGCCCCCTCCACCCCCTCCCCCGGACCATCTCTACCCAAAACCCAGCCATCACTATCTACCATAACAAATGGAAGACTGTTATTATAAGTACGATAGAATACTACATTAGACCGTCTTAATTGTTGGAATTCGTTTGTCGTTCCAGCCACCTCGACACCATGTCGTTGATGACCTCCTCAATTCATACAGCACCTATTCAAAGAGTGAAATGGAACTTTACGTAGAGTATGAAGGTGGTCTGTATAACGTGTGTCAACCAAACAACAGACAGACCAGTAGCGATGTCGAGTGGAGATGTCTGGCGAACCAGGGGGATGAAATTTATCAACAACTCATGAGGGAGACCCACAAACAAGCCTGTCTCTCAAACATTGGTATAGGAAAAGAAACGCCTACCATGCCCAGGTTCATTCAACAAAACATCTATAGACAGGTATGTTTTAGGATGTAACATGTTTTTTTAAAGACTGTCAATGTTCAAAAGTCCAATGGGCGACTCTCTGTTTCAGAAAAGCATGTCTTTTAGATAGTGGCTGCAGCTGATTTTCGGTAATATTTCATAAATAAAACTTAAAGTGTAAACTATTTAGACTAGTTATTTTCCTTTTATATTACAGGATACACTCTAAACTTCCATTTGTTCCCAGGTTCCGCATTGGTTATTTTTTTGAAGTTATATGTCTACATGTGTACATGATCGTTTAATATTTGTTAGACATTTGGAAAGTTCAGCTACTAAAATGAAACTGGGTGGTCGGGTGGTGCAATAGATAGCGCACTTGCCTTTCACCAAGGCGACCGGGGTTCGATTCCCCGATCGGATGTGAAAAGAATGTGAAGAGGTTTAGGGTCACTTGCGCGACCATGTGGGTTTTCTCCGGGTACTCCAGTTTCCTCCCACACTAAGATCCCCGCGCGCTTACATTCAGGCCAACAAAAGTGATTAATTTAAGTTGAAATAACTTGTTTCATAATTGTTGTCAAACAAATAAAGTTTATATTTATAAAATCAAACGAATCACAAAACGGTGTAGCAAGTTTCGATTGGAATGTTATATACCAGCTCAGTTGTTAATATCGCTGTCATAAACCACTTATGTTTATAATTGAATGGTGTCCGTTATGTTTCAGATGAAACCAAGGACTTCGTCAGTTACTACACAAGCTAAGGTATCAATGGCAGAGTTTCAGACTCAGACTCACTGGACAGGAATGAACTCTAAAGATATGGCTACACAGGCAGTACAAGACACCATAGACAGCGGTGTTCAGGCCAAACCCGGTACGGCTGAGTTTGGAACGCAGGCCAAACCTAGTGCAGCTGATTTTGGAACACAGGCCAAACCTAGTGCAGCTGATTTTGGAACACAGGCCAAGCCTAGTGCAACTGACTTTGGAACACAGGCCAAGCCAAATGTAACTGAATTTGGACTGCAGGCAAAGCCCAGAGTAGCTGATATTGGTACTACTGAGATTAGACCCATAACAGTGGAATCAAGCACGCAAGCAGTTAAAATGTGCACCGATACTGGAATACAAATGACCCCTACTGACCAACAAACACCAGACCACGATAGACAATATAACACAATTAAGGTATGTAAGAGAAAAATATATTTGTACCTTAAAATCACAACTTATATTCTGATCAATTTAATGTAGATAAATACGTGCCACATTCGTGAATGAATCGTTTACAAGTGGAATTCAGTTTTGTTTTTCAATTCTTGAAAATAAGTACAAAAACTTTATGGAGTTGTATGAGGAAATTCGAGTGATTTTAATTTATCTTCTGGATTAACTTCCATTACAGATGGACTCCCGTAAAGCAGAGTCATTTGTAGTAAATGTGGATGGTGTTGCGCTGACACTCAGCAAGGAAGATTCTTCCATCATCCAAGCACTGGTGAAAATGGCTGCAGCAAATAAATCCAAAAACAGGTGAACAGTTTAAAATAGGATTGTTTACTCTTTCGTTGAGTCTATTCCCTCACAAAATCAACATTAAGACGACAGTTTCCCTGTCAGACTTTTAAAAATATTCTTATTTCAAGAATGTAAAACGTCTTATATAGCTTATTTTACTTCAACAATTTTTAAAAGGACATAAGTGTTGTAAACAGTGAAGTGTGGTAATATTATATGACATTTGGGTTTTATATAGCTGGATTTCAACCCCCAAGTAAGGACTTGAAACCTGGATGTTAACTTTGAAATACGTGCAACATAAATACGTAACATTTACTTTAAGGCAAAGTTATTGTATCGTACTGAAAGTATCGAACAGTGTAGGTTGTATCGCGATAACCGCGATACATATCGTATCTTGAGGTAGGAATATCGTTACAACAGTGAAAGTCTGATTACTTATGTTTACAAATTCTTTCTTTTCTTTCAAGATGTAGTAATGAAGTCCACAATGGGATACAGGGGGCTGCAGCAGCAAGTCCTTCAAAAGCACTTTGCAATTATGCTCAGGAAAAACAAGTGAAGAAATCGCATGGAGATATACCCAAGTCAGTATAATGTAAAATAAAGGATTTTGATAAAATATTTTAATTGACCTGGCCCAATGGGTTAAGTGAGCTTTATTATGAAGCGCCATAGGGACTAAATAATCTGATGTTATATAAAGGGAGGAGATATATGCGCCTGGGAGATGGATACTTTTAAAGCATGGTTGAAGAGATTTTGATATTTTTCGGGCATGTGGCTAATATGGATGTAAATGGCTTGCTCGAGAACACAATTAAATTCCGTAATCTGCACCCAAGACCTAATAGAAAATATGCCGGTGTACCACCAATAGTACTACATGTATGCGGCCCGAATAAAATTTCTTGTACGTATGTACGTATTTATAGGTAATGCATATATATATTAGATTATTAGTGTGAAAACTCCTATTTTGTAGATACTACGATAACATACCATATGAAGGCCACCTGGATAAATATTTCTCCAAAACCTCACCTTTTAGTCAGTATGGATATTATGCTGCAGGGGACATCCCAGCCACCCTGGACAATATCAAGATCCCCATTATTTATACTCAAGATATCACTTATGCAAAGGGAGAGAATAATAGTGTACTTCTCGGTAGAGGCAGCTTTGGATGTGTGTATTTCGCTAAACATCGCATGCATAACATGGACTTTTGCGTAAAAGAGTTCGAAGACGACAGTACAACTTTGTATGATATCCACCATGAGGCTCAGGTATTGCTTTACCTACAGTCGACAATGTTTGTGCCAAAATGCCTTGGGTTAACGGAATCTTCTTTTGTGGCCAGTGACCTGTCCCTCGTGCAGGAATGTTACGCAAAGGGCTATACTTTGAAGAACTTGCTGAAGGATCGACCCCCATCGTTTATCAAAAGGAAGTGGATTGCCGTTTGTTATCAGCTGTTTTGGGGACTGAAAATGATCCACGAGAAGCAAGTCTTGTTGAATGACATTAAAACGGATAACGTTTTAGTAGACTACAGATCGGATGACATAACAAATAATGTGCGGTATGTGATTATTTACAGTCGTATTAGATGAACATAAATGTAAATTATCATGGTGAAATATAACTTTTTAAACAGAATATCACATTAATGTCTATCTGTTTGATATCATTACCTGCTAAATGAAAAGAGAGAGCGAGACACTGCCTTGGAAACTTGTAATATTACTGTCCATGTATTTATTTCAAATTTTTAGCTTGATAAGAATACTGAATTACTTACTATAATTATATACATTAAACTTGCCAACAAAAATTCCAAACTTCAATAGAACATATAAATGATACATTAACGATATGGATAGCTGTATTATCGTATATTATTTTACCCTTTAAGATTCATTGACATGGGGCTTGCCACATTCAGAAAGGGTCATCGTTTCTCAGCTCATCCAACCTACATGGACAATCGTGAGAACTACGCCCCGGAGGTAAGACAAGGCCTCTTTTCCACCCCGGCTTCTGACCTCTATTCTGTAGGATACATGATGGACAAGATCTCCGAGAAAGTCGGTATCATCGAGATAGATTCCCTCGCTCAAATGTGCATAGAGGATGATCCAAATGACAGGCCGAACTGTACTTTTGTTCTGGAGAAACTAGAGGATATCATGGAGAATGTGTAAATTCGAACGTTATCGCACGTACGAGTAGAGATCATGGAGGATCAATGAAAGAAAATTACAAAATTATTATAAAGAAGTCATTTTAAAACATATCCCATGTACTGGATTGCACTACAGTATCATTACATTGTATATATATATATTAAATCTAGCTTATACATTTTAAGTTATTCACATTTACATACTAGTAATTGAAATGAATTGTATATCATTTACCTGATAAAGATGTGGGTTTTTTTAAATTGTCAATCCAACTCTTCAATGAAAAGGACAAAAACTTTACGAGAGATTTGTACACATATTTTTATTAAAATATTACGTTTTTGTATCCAGAGTCACACCTCGTTTTCGATGTTGTCCTAATGAGGGTAACATTTACCAGAATTTGAATTTAAATGGCAAATTATTTAACATTTACATCTTTAACATCTTGCTGTTATACAATACCATCTGTGATAGACATTTTCTCGTAAATACAGATTTTCTTTGTATATACATATTTTTAGAATTTTTATCATTCACTTGTTAAGTTTGATAAAATCTGGATGAATTTTGTATTTACATTAATACCTTTATGTATGCAAATTTTCTATAATATTTTTGGCCCTCAATGAATTTGGTAATGCAGTGATAAAGACCATATGTGTAGAAGAACCATGCTACTAGTATTGGATCACTAGCTGTGTCACTAGCAGAGGTAACAAACGAAGTGAGGGGATCTATATAGAGGTTTAACTATTTCGTGTGCATTTCCACATGATACTGAATTGTTTTTGTATGTATACAAGGTACCATCATTTTTAATATATATATATTTTCAATACATGTTATCATTAGCTGAACCGAATTCTAGTGAGATAACTCCCCCCCCCCCCCAAAAAAAAAGAGGCAGTACTGTTATTTGATCTGTTACTTTTGTTCTCGAATTCCGCTGTATCATTTTTTAAGTAAAGCTGCTTTATTTACCACTTAAACAGTATCAGATTGAAATTACTTTAATTGTTCGATCTGTTTATTCATTTTTTTTTGTACAAACTGCATATCTTTTGGCAGTATCTTACAATCTTGGTGCTAAAGTTGTTCAATTGCTGCATTTGTTGTTACTGAAATAAATCTTATTGCATTGTTTCTCAAGTTTTAGTTTTTATATGTTTGTAGTTTAGGAATTGACTTACGTTTGATGCACGGCGCGTTGTGAACACAAGCGATCTTACAATGCATACTACTAAACAGCAGGGCAATGGAGACACATTGCCCCGACTGTCCAAAGGTTGGTTAGAGTTAACCATTAAGGGGACAATTCAAAATTAAGAACATTTGATATTATTTCACTGCTATTTATTTTTCAAGATGTGTTTTTAGAGTTTATTTTCCTTTGAAAGCCCTAGCTTCTTATGGGCAGCAAACTGAAATTTTCAATAACCACTGGTTAAAGTTATCAAACCTTCACCAACTGTGGACTGGTTTAAACCATGTCCATTGTATTTAACAGTCATTAAGTTTTAATATAGAATTCTTATAATTTTTAAAACATGGTTTATATGGAAGATTTGCGATCAATTTTCATGAAGTTATTCAGACGCTACTACTAGTTGTGGAAGATCAACGGTAATGCCTCAATGTAATATAAAAAATCAAATGTTTTTGTAAAGTGAAATTTTTCACTTAATCATTTGTGAAAAATGTACACGATTTCTCAAGATAGCGTATAGACAGATGCTAAAGGTAGTGCATAGAAAGTGTTGCGTTTGATGATGTGTCGGAGGTCAAAGGGCAACTTGACGATCTTAGGTGTATGTACTTAAATCGTACAGTGACATTCGATATTTATTTTTACAAAAACAGCCAACATGGGTCCTATAAATAAACCTTACCTGGGACAGAATTGTATTGATATACTTATACTTGACCAAACCCTTACTGGTGACAGAGAGGTATAAACATGTTTATATATGTCGACCCCTTACCGGGGACGGAGAGGTATACACATATTAACATTGACAAAACCTAAACCGGGGACAAAGAGGTATACACATATTTACATTAACAAAACCTAAACCGGGAACAAAGAGGTATACACATATTTAAATTGACAAAACCTAACCTAGGGACAAAGAGGTTAACACATATTTTTTTTGACAAAACCTAAACCGGGGACAAAGAGGTATAAACATATTTACATTAACAAAACCTAAACCGGGGAGAAAGAGGTATACACATTTTTATATTGACAAAACCTAAACCGGGGACAAAGAGGTCTACACATATTTACATTAACAAAACCTAAACCGGGGACAAAGAGGTATACACATATTCATATTGACAAAACCTTAACCGGGAACAAAGAGGTATAAACATATTTACATTGACAAACCCTTAACCGGGGAAAAAGAGGTATACACATATTTACATTGACAAATCCTAAACCGGGGACAAAGAGGTATAAACATATTTACATTAACAAAACCTAAACCGGGAACAAAGAGGTATACACATATTTAAATTGACAAAACCTAACCTAGGGACAAAGAGGTTAACACATATTTTTTTTGACAAAACCTAAACCGGGGACAAAGAGGTCTACACATATTTACATTAACAAAACCTAAACCGGGGAGAAAGAGGTATACACATATTTAGATTGACAAAACCTAAACCGGGGACAAAGAGGTATAAACATATTTATATTGACAAAACCTAAACCGGGGACAAAGAGGTCTACACATATTTACATTAACAAAACCTAAACCGGGAACAAAGAGGTATACACATATTTAAATTGACAAAACCTAACCTAGGGACAAAGAGGCATACACATATTTATTTTGACAAAACCTAAACCGGGGACAAAGAGGTATTCACATATTTATATTGACAAAACCTAACCTAGGGACAAACAGGTATACACATATTTACATTGACAAAACCTTAACCGGGGACAAAGAGGTATAAACATATTTATATTGACAAAACCTCAACCGGGGACAAAGAGGTATAAACATATCTACATTGACAAAACCTAAACCGAGAACAAAGAGGTATACACATATTTACATTGACAACACATTAACCGGGGACAAAGAGGTATACACATATTCATATTGACAAAACCTTAACCGGGGACAAAGAGGTATAAACATATTTACATTAACAAAACCTAAACCGGGGACAAAGAGGTATACACATATTTACATTAACAAAACCTAAACCGGGAACAAAGAGGTATACACATATTTACATTGACAAAACCTAACCTAGGGACAAAGAGGTATACACATATTTATTTTGACAAAACCTAAACCGGGGACAAAGAGGTATACACATATTTATATTGACAAAACCTAACCTAGGGACAAAGAGGTATACACATATTTACATTGACAAAACCTAAACCGGGGACAAAGAGGTATACACATATTTATATTGACAAACCTAAACCGGGGACAAAGAGGTAAACACATATTTACATTGACAAAATCTAAACCGGGAGCACAGAGCTCTGAACATATTTATATTGATTAAAACTTATCTTGGAACAAAGAGGTATACACATATTTGCATTGACAAAACCTTATCTGGGGACAAAGAGGTATACGCATATTTACTTTGACAAAGTCTAAACCGGGGACAAAGAGGTATACACATATTTTGTTGACAAAACCTAAACCGGGGACAAAGAGGTATACACATATTTATATTGACAAAACCTAAACCGGGGACAAAGAGGTATAAACATATTTACATTAACAAAACCTAAACCGGGGACAAAGAGGTATAAACATATTTAAATTGACAAAAACTTAACCGGGGACAAAGAGGTATACACATATTTATATTGACAAAACCTAAACCGGGGACAAAGAGGTATACACATATTTTGTTGACAAAACCTAAACCGGGGACAAAGAGGTATACACATATTTACATTTTCCGACCCTAACTAGGTACAGAGAGGTTTGAACGTATACACAATTACCAAACCATAGCTTATTAGTTCATTCAGCGTTTACTAAGAATCTAAAGTACTATAATCACTCACAAGCTTGATTATGACGAATCAATGTGAAATGTTAAAATATTCCAACCCTAAACTAGTGTAAATATTGACTGAATGCATTTAGATACAACCTGTAGACATGTTGTAAATATGTCATGTCGCTTTCCAAATCACATCCACAGTGACATCGGAATAAAACTCGTAAACAGTCCTCGAGATGTCCTACTTCAATAAAATATTTTATTACAAAAGATGATATACACACAGGGTTAACAGTACAAGGCCACTGTTTTCTTGTCAATGTACATGTATTTATGGCAATGCTCAACTTAATTAAAGAAAATCAACAACTGCCAATTGAACTTTTACCCATATTAATGTAAGTCACATAATAAATCACGAAACTATTGGTGGAAACGGTCAATGTTAACTGTTTAGCCACAGTTCAGTTTCTTCCCCGTGTGGCATTTGTACAGGTACATTCAAAATCACTGGAGCGTGACGAAATGTTTTGGACTGCACTCAGATAAGAAAGTGTTCAATATCAGTTCAAAACAGTTCAATTTTCATTATGTAAACAACGACATACAACAGGACCGACCGAACACTGTCAATACATATAATTTCCAATCACTATACATGTTCATGTAACACTACCTCATTGTAGAGCTCTTCCGAAACACACTTGCAAACTCGAAGAAGTTAATACAATCTCTAAACTTGTTGAAACACAAAAAATCTACTTTCTCTATATGTTTGCGTGTCGGTCGCCATCTTCTCTCACCTTTTAATTTCAATATCCATCATCAATTTTAGTCTTATACATAACACTTAATTTAAGTTTTTGTGATTCAGTGGAAGAGATACCGGATAACGCCGGTGAAGGAGGAAAACAGTTTTATTGCTCCCAAGCCCAAATATACCAGTAATATACCTCTCTTACCGAGTAATCGGACCAGTTCAGTGGCTACACATAACACTAGTCCCGACGAAACTTTTTCAGGTCGAGTCTTCCTTAATTTTCAAAAAATCACCATTTTCTGGTACTGACCCCCCACCAAAAGGGGACGTAACCTATCAGACATGGCGATATGAGATCCGTTCCTTGTATAGAGATGATGAAGTTTCTCCAAGCACATTAGTGCAAGCAAGCAGTGCGTCGCTCCTTAAGGGGAACAACTAGAAGGAAACTTATCTCTCTGGGGGAGAAACCTGCCATTACAGATATACTCCGTAAACTTGATCACCCCTGCCGGTGGGGATCGAGAAAAGAATACGCCTGCTGTTACCAACTGCATTTTACCGTAACAGGCGACTTATATAGGGAACCCCCCTGCAGAATGGGGGATTTACTTTTGCGCCCTCTACTTAGGGTCACAAAGGCGACCAAAATGAATCTGCTGCACCCATTGCAACATTTGGAATCTTTGTCTTTCTTTCTATTTCTAACTACCTTTAATTTCCTAGCGCCTTGCTTGGCAATTCTTCACTTTTAACTTTAATGATGAGCATTCGCCAAGGTGAGGAAGGAAATGGGTCCTGTCCTCTAGCCCATTCCAAAGTCCTTAAAAATGGTAGTTGTTATTCCCTGTTTAACGTTCAGCATCGAAGGTAATGGCACCAACTGGTTCACCCGTTGTCAGTATAATGTGACCGGGCGGAATGCTGTGCTGGGTACCTTTGGCATGGTGTTTCAGTGAAATAGCACTATAAAGTCGGCATTAGATCCGCGTTATTACAAGGAGGCAAGTTGACCAACATACCCTGTCGCCAGCATACATACACACGTGTACACTTACACAACACACATGGAGGCACGTCCTTAAATGACCTTACATTTTAATAGGACGTTAAACAAAATAAAACCAAACCAA